TTAATATTAATAATAATATTTTAAATTAAATTAATCTATATACCCACCCTACTACCTACCCCACCAAATTTATTTTAACTATAAAACCCAATCCAAACCCTAATCTATTTCATTTCATTTCTCTCCCCTCTCTCACTCGGTGCTGCCACCGCCACTGCCACTGCCAGCCGCCTCTTCCTCCCTCCATCCCTTTCCCCTTCCCCGGCGCAGCAGCGACGTCGCTGATGTGTCGTAGTGACGCTACTGCCGGTCAGCAGCGTCGCTGCGCGTCACAAGTCGCTGCTGCCGTTCAGCAGCGTCACAGCGACGTTGCTGACAGTCATTAAGGCAATTCAAGGCCTAGCCTTCGATCGAGCGCTTCTACAGTAGAATCATCTGGATAAGATCTTTGTCTTCATGCTCCTAACAATTCATAACAAACATCATATTGTTGTGATTTTGGCAGATCTTGGGTTTTTGATTTGTTGTAATTTTGGGTTTTTTTTCATTCTCAGATCTTGTTGTTAGTGATTTGTACATTGTGATGGTTGTTTGAAAATGAAAATGGTGAGGTGGTGGTCGGGCTGGTGGTGGTTGTGGCGTGGTATAGATAGAAATAGAGATGGTTGTCGAGGTGTTGGAGACTGCGTGGTTGTCGCGGTGGTGGTACAGTGATTTTTTGGTTGTGATTTTGTGGTGGTTTCTCGGTTGTGGTGTAGCGGATCTGTGGACTGTGTTTGTGGCTGTGGCAGCCGGATATCTGTGTGTGGCTGTTGTTGGTTGTCGAAAGTGTTATTGTTGGTCGGTGGTCGGGGAGATGGAGGTTGCGGCGGCGTCGGGTGGATTGGACGAAGAGTTTTTGTGACCAACTATTTGGTCGATCTGTGACCAAGTAGTTGGTGGTGTTTTGGGATTTGGGTGTATCTAACCAACTATATCGATCTGTGACCAAGTTTTTGTGGTGTAGTGAGATTGGGGGACCTGTGTTTGGGATAAGTTGTGACCGAAATTTAAATTTTTAACTACTTAATAAGATATCCGTGACATTGGAATCGGAGCAGTTATCGGAATTAAGCGGCGGCCAACGGTCACCGGAAAATAGTCACCGGAATTAAGTGCGGTCGGAGTGGTCGTCGGAGGTAGAGGTGGGGTGGAGTGGGTCGGTGGGGTGGGTCAATTATATAAATATTATATTACAGTTAAATATTTAATTTAATAGATTAATTGTAAAATATAATTAATTAATTCATGGAAAAACCTGAGTTTTGTAAATTTAAACTTTGGGGCCTGATTTTTGATTTCGTGAAAAGTTTTGTAAATTTAAACCTTGGGGCTTGATTTTTTATTTCGTGAAAAATAATCCCTGACCTATGAATTTTTCCCTTGTTTAAACTAGATTTTCATGTAAACCCTTATAAATAAATGGTTAATTCATCGTTTTTCATCGTCTTCAATTAATAAAAGATTACAAATTTCATATTTTTAAGGTTTTCCCTTGAATTTCACTGCATCATTAATCGACCAAATATCTGAATGCCTAAACATTTAATCATGTATATCCATCAAAACTGCCAAATTCCGTTGAAACTCACCCCAATCTACTCTTCATGGAAAGTGCAGATTGATGCACTGCTTCTTGGGTACGATCTATTTGGATTTGTTGATTGCACAAATAAGTGTCCTAAGCAAACTATTGAAGATAATGAAAGAATAATAAACCTCATATTTTTTCTCTTCTTTGACCATCTCTTTTTCTTCCTTCTAGGCTTCCGATGGTGACGGAGGTCCATGAAATAGGAAAGATAAGTTCAATAAATCAATGTCTCTTCCTCTTACATTAGCTAAAATCGAGAGTCTTTTAGGTCTTGAGCGGGTTGTGGGGAGGCTTTTTTTATGAGATTTTGCTACTTGTACATAATTGATTATATAATATGATGTGTAGGGTAATTAGATGAAAGTTTTTGAAGTCCTAGGCCATTGTCTAGTTGGCTTTGGGCCGGGCTCCGATGAGCATGTCGAGAAATCTCTCGTAATTAGTGTGACAATATTGCTTGGTATGAAGTGTATTATTCCTAATAAATGTTACTTACGAACGGCAATGAAGCGTAGAACAAAGACCATAGGCATTTTGAACTGTTTGACTAAAAATAAAATCTTGCACCATAGGTAAATGACATGGCGATTAATAATTTGGGAAGGAATGAAAAAAAGACACGATCTACTACAAGCCAATGATCGATATACAAAATTACAACAGAAATTAAAAATACTCTCGTGGAAATACCGTTTCCATTATTAGTAAGTTCACTAATTCCTTTATCAAAAACATGTTCTGTCTAATAAAGATACGAAGGGGACAAGTATTAATGTGAGGGAAACTCTTGATTTCATCATACTATATTTTCTAGGTTATATGTCATGCATGGATGTTGGCATTGTAAAATTGATGTGAATGAACAAAAGACACAATGTTAATGACCCAAAAATGGTTCAATATAGTTATAAAATCTTCCAGACATCGACTTAAAGACAAGCGTGTTTGGCCAACGATTGAAAAATAAAATTCAAAATTCAAAAAATTATAGTTTGAAGAAGTCAAATTGGAAAGTTGTATTCGATGAATCATTAAACTCGATTTGTATCTACTACAATTGATCGACATCTAGTGATATAGGGGTTCAAAGAGAAATGTATCGTGATTTAATGAATTTGAGTCAAGTTGAAGATTTTGAGTTATTGACTCAAATTGGGAAGTATAAAAGTTGAAGGGCTTGTGGTAGAAATAGCATCGATTGAAGATTATCGAGCATAAGGGCTTGCACGGGAGTATTAGGGTACCGTCCTAGAGCAATTAACACTTGCGTGTTAAGGAAACATTTTTACTAAAGTAGCTTAGGAATCTTAATTAATGGCTTATGTAATTATGAAATGTGTTTCACCATTCTTTACATAGAGCACGTCACGGCAGCGAGAGTTTCAAAGGGAGGAGAAGCTAGTGAGAGAAAAGATAGCGACACGAGCGTTCAAGTTTTTTTGTAGAAAAAAATTGAAGGAATTAATAACTTTCATAGTGTAGAGTCTCTCTCTTTCTCTTATAATCGTTTACATTTGTTGAATCACATATAATTTGTGTTGTTTGCTTTTTCTTGATCCATGTTTGAGATTTTTCCCTAACTCTTCGGACAAATAGAGAAAAAACTCTAGTTTGCTTATAATAAGAAAACCAACTATAGTTTAGTTATAACTTGATTAAATCAAATTTAATCCCAAGAGGTATATTTCAATTATTTAATTTGCTTTTTTCTCAAACGCAACTTTCAAGTGTCGAAGCTATATCAATTGGACAAAATAAAAAGAAAAAAGCAATTCAATATTAGTGTATTCTTGAAATAAACTCTAGAAATTTTACATTTTAATTCATTAAACTTATAAATCTCGTTTACACAAAATTGAGTGTTTAATTCGTAAGAATGTTCACTTAACCAAATATTTTTCATTTCTTGGTAAGGAATCGTCCTTTTGGAACTTGTCTCTAATGTATTTAGTACGTAATAGTGAATAGAATTAAAATACTAAATACACGTTGATTTACTTTTTATTTTAAAATAAATAAATGTATTCCAAAATTCCCTTAATTTTTATTTTTTTAATGTCCCACTTGTCAGTGCTCATCTGTGTATGTACAGAACTGTTCTTCTGCTCATGGTGGGAAGTCTTATAATGTTCACTCGAAGAGAACTCAACATTGGGTTCTAATAGTTGGAGAGAACCCAACGTTGGGTTCTCCTGCCACATCAGCAAGTGTGCAGTCTTATTCTGTTCACCGTGGACAGGAGAATATTTCCATATTTGTGTATATGTTAATTAAAGTGTGTGTTCATTTAATTGTGAAGAGTGGTTTTTTTTTTTAATTGTAAGCGTTAAGAGAGACTGGAAAAGATTGAGTTGAAATGCTTGACAATTTCCAGAGGTCAAGTAATTTGGTACCAAGTACCGACCATAGTTCACCAAATTCATATAAAGCAGTAACCCTATTTTGTACCTATAGCTAAAATATATTTATATGCTTTTATTATATAGATAGATATTTTATTATATGGCTAGTCTAAGGTCGGTCCAATCTTTTAAAAACAAGAAAGAGATGAATGTCATATGCTACACCCATAAATTACGTGACATGCTTAAACATAGAGGATCTTATATATACTGACGTGACATCAACCATTCAATTGATTGGATCTATTTTATTAAACAATCGAATTTTGGGCGCCCATTTCACTAAACCCACTTGGCCCATTTCATTTCTCTATGCATGTGTGAATCTACTTCACACTGAAAGTATGTTTTTTAATCGTGGCAAAATTTTCTTTTCCTCGCTTGAGCATTTTTTTATCTCTCGTTCGATCGTTGACTTGACTAACATAGTGCAAACGGTCGCGAATATTTTTCTCAATTGGCGACTTTGCACCTAACAAGTAACAGGGTGTTCCAATGCACAGATGATGTTTATGTGAAGAGGAGGTGGCCCAAATTTTGTAGGCCATATGTCCGTGCAAAAATCAAAGTCAACATTATGCAAAGAATAGTAGAAATATGTTCGGAAAGTGTCCTAATATACAACACGAGGAGATGGAGGTGAGAATTTTGATCAACCGTCACAAAGTCGTGTCTAGCTATTAGTATGGGTTGAAATGAATATGTTGATGATGTTCACAAATACTTTCACAAAGTACAAAATGTTGACTGAAGGCACCGATTGCAATTAATTTGAGCAAGAAAGGAAAAAAAAAAAAAAAAAAACGAATACGTATACCCAATAAATTCACCAAATTGATTACCTATAATCCTCCAAAATTCGTCATAATAGCATTCAACCGTACGTCTATATCCGTACTGCCTTGTTTTTTAAGTCATTCATTTATTTATGGCTTCTCTTCTCTTCTGTTTAGGTTGAGTTGAGTTGAGCATACACACAAACACAAATTTCTCTCTCAAAATCCAGAATATTTCAGACGACGAAGATGTTTAGGTTGATAACAGGAATTCCGGGTCCGAGTGGATTTGGATCAGGTTCAACTGGTGAACAAGTTACTCAAGGGATTGATGCAACTGCTCTTACTGTCATCATTACAGGTGATCAGACATTCATATACAGATTTTGCTAATTGTACATCAAAATTGTACGTAAAGTAACATAAATGTAATGTAGAGGAAAAAGATTAGATGAAAATGTTGACTGTGACATTATGTAACCCATTATATAATCCCTGATATACTTGTAGCAAGATCCTTCGTATACACACACTGATATTCTGCACAAGAATTTGAGCCTGCAATTTCTGTATTAGTATTTGATATCATTCTATGTATATACATAGAAGACAGACAGACAGCAGAGGTTTAGCAACTAGTATGTAGAGAATCGATCCCATTCATCCATTAAAAATTCAAAGAAAATGAAATTGTACTAAAAAGTATATCCAAGCTGCTATAAGTTACTTTCACTTATTACGTGTTTTTTTATGCTTCGATATTTTACTCTGTGTAAATTTACTTAACCCTTGTTTGGTTTAGATAAAAATCAATTTTTTTAATAAATTTAGGTAAAAGTTGATGAATTGTGTGGTTGAAAAGCTAATGAAAATTGAGGATTCAATTAAATGTGTGATCAAAAAATGAATTCGAGGAAAAATGAGTTTTAGAATATAAGTTATCCAAAGGTATTTAAGAATAAAAAGTTAGTTAAAGGAACTTTGCTTATTTCTTCTTCACTTAGCTAAACAATTTTAAGAATAAAAAGTTTGGTTAGAAGTATCTTTATTTATTTCTTCTTCACTCAGCTAAACAATAAATTTACTTATTCTGTAAATTGACTTAGATTTATAATGTAATATCATAGACTACAGTAGGGGCGGACTTAGAATTATGAATAATGCTATGTGTACACTTTGTGGTGTACACAATGCATTACACTCCCCTCACATGGAGGGGTGTGGGGAGTGTAATGCATTGTGTACATCATTGTGTACACATAGCACAATTCTAGGATTATCGTTCAGTAGAGGCGAGACAAAAAAGGGACTAAAATAAATTGTGTTAGAAACCAAAAAAATCTGAAAATTTAAATTTAAAAAGCCAAGGTATTAAAAACATTAAACACGTTGCCATCTCACAATAACTAATTTTATTTTTATAAGTGCTTTAAATTAAATCAATACGTGGAATATGAATTATATATTTCTGTTCTAATTTATCATATAAAAAAATTAAGAATTTTCTTAAATCATAATAATTATTATTAAGAATTCGTTATATGAGTTAATAAACTAACGTATTAAATTTATTTATTTTATTACCATAATAAATTGATAAATAATAACATAGTAAGTCAAATATTTGATATGTTGTAATTTATCAATTTATTATGGTAATAAAATAAATAAATTTAATACGTTAGTTTATTAACTCATATAACGAAAATAAATTGATAAATTACAACATATCAAATATTTGACTTACTATGTTATTATTTTTAAATTTAATTTCAACAATACTTTCTCAATGTAGTATCATTAGTTAGATAATATTAAATAGAGTAATGCTATTTAACCTCAGTTTAGGTGTCGTTAATATGACATTAAATGATATGTGAAATTAAATAAGTCATTTAATTTCATCTTTCATTTAACTTATCATTTAATGTCACCTAAACTGGGATTGTAACCACAGTGACACTACATAACATTACTCTATTGAATAATACACATTTTAAAATTTTTATTTAAATACTACATTATTTAAATATTAAAATTGCTCTATTGATGCAATAATATTCCCTGCCTAAAAAATGCTACAAAATAGTGAAATTCTTCATTTTGCTGTAGTTTTAATTACAATCATGCTACATGTAAATCTTTTCTTACATCATTTTTTACATTGTGCTACGTGGCGACACATGATTGGACAGTTTTTAAAAAAACACTTTCTGGCCCAACATTTTTTGAACTTCAATGAAGTGTACGCCCACGAGCTTGGCTCGGCCCGTGAGCTAGTGGCTCGTGGGCCGGCTTGCGAGCTCGTTAAATTTTTTTTTTTATTCTTTTAAGATATACCTTTTTTCCTGAAAAAAAAAAAACAAAAAAATAACCCTTCACAAAGACGAGTCCACGAGCTCGGCTCGGGCTCGTTTTTTCACTAGCCGAGCTGACGAATCGCTCGGCTCGATTGCCATCCCTATGCAAACCAAAGGATGTACACTGTGCACTATTCTTTTAATTAATGTTAATCGCATTTCTTTTCATCAAATTCTAATATATATTTTGATTGCAGGTGGTGCGAGTGGAATAGGGTTGGAGACGTCAAGAGTTTTAGCTCAGAGGAATGCTCATGTGATTATTGGTGCAAGAAACATGGAGGCTGCAAATGAAGCTAAACAACTCATTCTAAAGGATAATAATACTGCCCGAATTGACATTCTCAAACTCAACCTTGCCTCTCTTAAATCTGTCGAGGCATTTGCTGACCAATTCATTTCTCTTAACCTTTCTCTCAACATCTTAATGTAAGTTACTCCATTTGGACTGGACAGATAGAATAGTATGAAATTTAAGAATATTTGCCAGTTTTAGCAAGTAAACAGAAGAATTGTTATGCAGAAACAATGCAGGAATCATGTTCTGTCCTTACCAGCTTTCTGAAGATGGAATAGAGATGCAATTTGCAACAAATCATCTCGGTATGCTTGCTGAATCATAAATTATGTACCCCCTGTTAAACCTTTGATTCCTTTTCTGATGATCATGGATTTGTCATCAGGTCACTTCTACTTGACTAGCCTTCTCCTTGACAAAATGAAAGAAACAGCAAAATCTACTGGCATAGAGGGAAGGATTGTGAATTTGTCATCAGTAGCACACATCCATACTTATTACAAAGGGATTCGATTCAACAGAATTAATGAAGAGACCAGGTACTTTGTCAATGCCACTCTTGTTGTACAGTGGACAAAATTTAAACTTTTTTTCTTTTTATTAATTAAACATGTACAAACATATTCTTGCACAATCTGTTTCTTTTCATTATTCTTGCATCATGTCAGTTATTCAGACAAGAAGGCATATGGACAATCCAAATTAGCTAACATATTACATGCCAATGAGCTCGCTCAACGTTTGCAGGTATAAAAATCTTGATGTTGCAAAACAAATTATTTTAGACTCCATCTCACCAGTATTATCCTCAATTTCTCACCAATGTATTGATACATAAAAAGACTTCCTATTGAAGTTTTATGATGATTCCAATAATGTATTCATTTTAATTTAGTTCTGGAATCAGGCTGAGGGAGCAAATATCACTGTCAACTCAGTGCATCCAGGGTTGATAATGACAAACCTCTTCAAATATTCTGCCACCTCAATGAGTCAGTTTCCAAAATCCAAAACCCACAAAAGAATTAATATCATCTTTTCTTTTCTTCTTTATTTATTATAATTATGATTTCTTCACAGGAATTTTGAAGTTCTTCACATGTTTCCTGTGGAAGAACGTCCCTCAGGTAAATCAAAAACTGTAGATACTTGGTACTATATTCGTGTATAACTGGTTTTTAGGTTGGCTATATGAATCCCGTTTGTTACTTTGTTGAGTCCGTCATGTTCTACTAAAAGATTTGACGCAATATTAGATGTTTCGCAATCACATTATGGCACATTGACTGTCTTCTAATGTTTTGCATTGTTTAGGGGGCAGCCACGACTTGCTATGTCGCACTTCACCCCAAGTTGAAAGGTGTATCAGGGAAGTATTTCGTGGACTGCAACGAGTTTAAGCCAAGCAGGTTGGCAACAGATGAAGCTTTAGCCAAGGAACTCTGGGATTTCAGCAATAAATTGATTGACGCAGCTCAAACCACCTGAAATATTTTACTTCCAAATGATTCTTTCCCGTCAAGAACTCGGAATATATAAAGATGCAGAGAGTTTGCATTACAATAAAAACAGGTGTCTATATTCAGTCCTAAAGACTCGTAGACAAATTTGTACCATTCTACTTGTGCTTGTATGCGAAAGATATTGTTACTCGAATTCAACATCTCATGCACTAATGAACAGCCAATGTCCAGCTTCAATAATCAGAGCTATAATTTTCAATGAACTATGAAAGCTACCATAAAATTCAAACTCTCACGACCAAATGCAGCACCTTTTGTAAATGAGTAATGTTATTTATCATGATAATGAAATATCGATGATGTGACAACCCATTATCCTTCACATTTCTCAGCGTGAATGTTTTTTTCCTAGTAATTTCAGTTATAATCAGAAGTGCTTGTGAAAATAACTTCTTAGAAGCATAGGAAACAATTCAAGCATTAGCAACTTAATTATAGAACTAATCGAAATTCACAAATATGTAAATCAAATAGATACAGTGAAAAATCCTAGTTTTCTCGGGATTCCCAGTCATACAGGTCTTTTCAGACATCTGAATATCCAGAGGGCGAAAAGATCTCAGCAAAACTTCAAGCTCTAACCCAAAATTCAAAATTTTGGAAATATCCCGACACAAAAGATAAAGTAGGATGACGCAACCCAGAACATCAAACAGCACTCGACTGCTCAAAAATACTAAATGTATACAGAGCCCTATATGACATACTCATTCACCCGCGATTTCTAGATGACCAAGTGGACCTTGGGACACCACCACCACCAAAGGCAGATTTACGCTCATCCCTCCACTTGTCATTTTGTTGAGATGTTTGATCGTCAGATCTGCGGCCGCTTGTCCACTTATCCGTTTCAGGAGGTGGGGCCTGGCCCCCACCCTCAGCAGACGCCCTTTTGAACCTGGGCACGTACTTCCCTAGTGATGCCGCAGCAGAAGCTGGCGCAACGGGTGCTGCCTCTGCTGGACGTGCCATAGTAGAAGGCTCAGTGTGCCTCACAGGCACAGCATTTGATCTCCCCAAGAGTTCTTCTCTCCGCTGTCTTTCTTTTTCCTCCAGTTCCTGCTCTCGTTGCCTTTGCTTTTCAGCAATCTCGTCCAACTTGGCTTTTCGTTCAGCTTCCTCTTTTTTCTTTCTTTCCATCTCTGCAAAGTCCAATAATTCGAAGGTATGCATTACATTATATATCGAAAATATAACAGATGGTAAAAATGTCAATAGACACTGTAGATACAAAATGCTTAGTCCAAATTCTTTGAACATAGCTGAAACTTTCACATTTATTAATTTTGGGTCTACATCTGGATAACAGCAAACCTTTTCGCCAAGGACAACTGTCACCTCCAACATATAGCCCTTGTTTGGTTGAGCTAAAATATTAAATTAAAATCTAAGTCAAAATCAACAATTAATTTTAACCTTAAATTTCGCGGGATCCACAACTTTTCAACCACAAATTCCATCAACTTTTATCAAAATCTACTAAAAATCTGATTGTTGACCCTTGGAGGCATAATCTGCGATTTACCTCATTCACCAAAACCCAGGGCAGGGCAGGGCAGGGCAGGTGGGGGCCGCTAAGGATGCGGTTCATCCTTTATCAAAAAAAAAAAAAAAAATCTAATTTTTATCTAAACCAAATAGGGGCATAAAAGTTAACTGAATGGCTCCTATAATCCCTAACTAATTTAAGTATTAGTTAAAAAAGAGGGAAGGTGGAATGAAGAATAGAAAGAAAAAGTGGTGTCCTAGATGGCCCAATAGCACCACTCTTGCTCATCCTATATTTACCATCATTAACACCGCCTCCTTTCTTTTGGACACACTCGCCCAAATAGAATATGCCTTTCTTCATATAATATATCCAGCAGTAGACAAGTCTTCTAAAGTGAAAGAAATGGGAAAAGATGAGAAGACAACAGAAGCATACCAATGTATTATGTTTGTCTAGTAACTTTAAGAATTTGTACAGGAAGCATACTTTAAATTATATAAAAGGCGGCCAACCAATATAGGAGCACAGTAAATGTTCGCCTATTCTACACTTGGTGTAGCTACCATCTGCAACAAAGGGGATTATATGTTCACATAGCTAGCATGGAAATATGTCCCTTTAGGGTCGTGTCACATCCTTGCAAATTTTACTTCCAAGAGAAATGAAGGTTTTCCTTCTCACAAGAGAGGCAAAAGCCCATATAGCAAGTGTTTACAGTGATTGATAATAAACCAATTGGTTAGTTCAGCCTTAAATGGGCAGCAGGAAAGACTCCGCAAAGGCATTGGCTAATCTAGCTTATGATCATTCACAGAATCACCACATTCGACTCGCACTATTCATAGGAGGCTAGAGCCACAGTAAGTGNTCCTCTTCAAGCAGTCTTTTTTGTCTCTCCTCCTCGGACCTTAGATAATATATCATTTTCCTCTTAGCCTCCCTCTCCTGCTTTCTTGACTGGATGATTTGGTTGATTCTCTCTTCTCTCTCCTCCTGAATTCTGTTGAACTCAGTTTCCCTACGACTAACAACACTTGCTTGGAATAATCTCTGCATAAATATGTTTAGAAGTTATATTTATTGTCAAATCCTACTCCAACAAAAACTCTGATCGTTAAACAATGTGCACAAGAAATGAAAGCTTAAAATATTAACCCCAGCAAACATGAGAGCCCATGCACGTGTGCGCCATCAAGTTTTATATAAAAGATTTCCAAACCTCACCTTGAAGAATATGGGTCCACTCATTCATAGATGCAACTATTATCACCGATCTAATTGTGTAGTTCTCTTAATATTTTAAGATTTATAAGAAAGATGGTGTTAAAGAGCACGTGGGTAAATTAAGGGTGCACAATCAAAAGCAAACAATTTTAGATTCAAGAGGAAAATCGGACCATCGGGTCATCAATAGTAAAACTAAGATCTACCAGTTATTCAATTATCAGCTACAAAATGTTGCTCCCTCCTTTTCCTGGGGGGGGCATTGAGTGCCTCCCATACCAAAACCTGGATACATTGGACAAGGCATAATGGACTAATTCAACATGATGTCCAGACGAATGGTAGAGCCAGAATNACATAATCGAACCGAATAGACTCGAAACCGAACGGTTCCAAAATTATATTTGGAATCGACGGTTCCATTTACTAAATACCCGAAAATTTCTGGAATCGAAAAAAATCGAACCGAACCGAACCGACCCGCGCCCACCCCTAAGAGCCAGAATGCAGCAAATTCAATTGTTCTCAGGTTGCCTGATAATTATGAATTTAGTGAACAGTGTGAGTTTGTCAAGCTATTCAGCAATGCGAGATCAAGCACATTCTATTCAAGTGATGGAGCTTATGCATATACAAAATGGTTAAGGTTTTAAACTTTCAGCTGCAAAGAGATTTTGCTCGAGTCTGAGCCCAGTATTGATCAGGTCACGCCTTAACTATCTCAACCCAAGGATGAGACAAAAAAATAAGAAAGATTCTTTTGGGTCCACAACCAGAAAATTGATAATTCTCGCTAGCTAATAGCACCTTGACGAGATTTGCAACAAAAAGATAAAGTTCTCTTTATAACACTCGTAAAGATCAAGAATATAGATAAAAACCTTGTTCTCCAACATCCGGGATAGCCTCCTTTTCTCCTCCAGGTCCCCAGCATGTCGTTGTCTGCTTAGCTCAATCTCTAGCTGTATGAATATCATAAAGAGTCGAGTCAATTGATAAACCATGCATCTAAAGATACAGAAAGGTAAATTCATGAGGATGAAAAATGCATGGAGTGGAACAGATGATCACCTTTTGAAAAAAGACACAATATAAATGAAGCAAATGAAGTTTCAGGACTCAAGAACATCTAATGCAAACCTTTTGTTCGCGTTCATGAAGAGCTTCCTCCTCTGACAAACGAAGTTGGAATGCCGCTTCAATAAGTGGTGCTGCCTCATCTCTTTTTGCCCTCTCCAAATAATCCATTGTTTTGGCAAGCTTCTGTATTTTTTTCTCCATTTCTTGCCTCTCCCTTAGTTGCTCAGTCAGGGCTAGTTCCATTAAATGCTGCTTAGTTATTTTTTCCTGGACCCAAGTAACAGTAATTATTAAGATTTGCCCGGTCTCATGAAAAGAAAAAAAGGACTAAGAGTGACTTTTAACTCACTCCCTCTAGAACTGGTTTCTTCCCTCTCTTCGTGCGACGTTTTTCAGCTTCTAGCAACAATGCTTGGGCTTCTTCCATTTCACGCTCCTCAATTTCTCTGAGAATTCTTTGATTCTTCATTTGTTCAAACTCAGAGGCAAGCCTTCTCTGTTCTGCCTCTTCAGTAATCTTCTGTAGTTTTAGCCTCTTTGCCTCCTCCTCTCGTTCCTTATGAATTGAAACAAAAATATTATAATCTAAATTCCTTCCATTTCACAGTAAAAATTATAAACAATGACCAGAAGCCATCATCTGATACAAAAGTCAAAAATAACATACCATCTCCAAAAGTTGGCGTTCTTGCTCTTCTTTGCGTTTTTCTATAATGGACTTCCGCGCAAGAAGTCTCTTGTGTTCTTTTTCCACAACCTCCACAAGACCTGAACGTGTTTCCCCTAATTTTGAAGCACTTTTTACAGGAGGATAGATCATGATCCTTGCCCTACTAAGGGACTCTGCAAAAGTGGCGAGGTGATCACGTAGACCCTCTGATTCAATGTTCTGATGTCAAAACAGTCAAATTTTAGTGCTGCACGATAATGTATCTGGTTGAAGGAAAAGTATAACAACCAAAAGGATGAAAAGAACAGAGATTTCTTATGCTTAGCTGCTACGCATGAACAAAATTCTGTTTAATGTAAAAGGAAGGTATCCTTGCTATGGATTTTAACCATTCTCAAAACTATTGCAAGCAAAGCAATATGGAATAACTCATGAGTGCTTGTGCCAATCTAAGATATTATTCCGTCAAGCCATGCATGCTGGCAGTAGTTTTTTAGCATAGGAGCTGACAATACTAAATAAAAAATGTCTTGCAAGTTCAAAAATAATTTTGAGCACCGTCATTTGCAAAGATTAACTGGTAAAGAAAGAACCAATAACAAGATGTTGAACTAACCTTATTACCAAAGATGATGGAGCCTTTCATATAGTTCATTTTCATGGTTAAAAAATTATGCTTAACAGCGTCCACAGATATCTTCTCCACCATAGAAAAATCAAAGAAAGGGATTATCCTAGATAAGTTATCAATATTCATAGTCTGGTACACCTGCGAAACCTGGAGATACAAAGGTGGGAAACACACTGTTACGTAGCGAAAATGTTTGACATAAGCGTTGCATAAAAAACAACAGAAGAAGTAGTAAAGCACACCTGCTGCAGCAACCTCAAAGTGGCAAGCTTTTCCAAAGCAGGAACATACTGAGACAATCGCACTTCTGGAACAGAAGAAGCTGACGAAAGCTTACCCCCTAGCTTTGATATTTTTTTTAACAAGGGTTGAGCTTTAATGGCCAGGTCTAAAGGGAGAAATTCATGTTCCAAAATGTTATATAGATCTTTCACTTCCTGAGTAACACATGTCATTACACCTTTGGATGCCTAAAACAAGTGCAGAAAGAAAGATAATTAAGGAATAACTTGCAAGAAAATACCAAATGCAAGAACAATCAACATAGGAAGCAAAGCAAAATTCATTATTATTAGAAGATAGAAGTGTGGTGACTCCTTGCAATCAAAAAAGAACCTGAAACTCGAAAGGCAGGACAGGACATCCCATCCAGACTTGAAGATACAGTTTAAGCATGAAAAGCGAAAATACAGAGAATTGAAAATGCAACAGCATTCTAAGAGTCACAAAATCAACTGATGTAGAAGCTTACCAATTCTGAGAAAATTGATGCCCTTGAAAGCTGAAATGAAATATATAGAAGTCATCAGTCAACAAATAAACTGATAGAACGCAGTCAAAGTTTCAGCCAAAAGTTCGAATTACCACTTCTCTGTTCTCAGGTTTGGGTTCAACATCAAATGCAATAAGACCAGCTACCCTCAAACACCGCTCTTTTTCATTTTCAAGCTCCATATGGGACGCGCCATATGATTGATCATAAGGAGGCACTGAAAGAGCAGCTAAAACAACCGATGATGCTATCAGCTGCAAATCCTTCTGGCTTAAGTTCTTATTGAAGCTTTTCTGAAGTGAGAAAAGCTTAAGCCAGCAATAAGCATGATAAAGATGGTTAGAAGACATCCAGAATATTTCTGATTGCTTGGCATAATAAACCACCATCAGGGAAGGTTTGGGCGTTTTCTTAACCATGCACATCAAACCATGTATATCTTCAATAGAACGAAACGCTTCCTGCAGTTTATAAAAGAATTCAAGACAGTAAATCTTAGACAAAAGTAAGTTTTAGCTAATAAAACATTAGTAACAAATAGATCCCTATATGCATGAATGTTAAACAGATAAAGAACATACCTGCCAAAGTTCGAGTTCAGTAGCAATTTTCAGTTGCTCAAATCTGGTATCCAGATACAACTGCAAGCTTTCTGGAGCAGCAAGATCAGGCCTATCTCTCTGGTCTCTGTACTTGTTAAGATTTGCAAGATGATTCCTGATGATTTCACACAACCGCCGAAATTCTGTAGTTCGTTTGTATTGCTTACAGAACTGGAAGGCACGGTGTGCAGTCATCTATACATTCAAAGCAGAAGCTCAGAAAATCCTCGTTCGAACCAAACATAATAATGAAATTACAATTAAAACTATGAAAAAAATCCAGATATATAATTGCAGTAAAACTATGAAAAAATTGATTTGATTCACATATAACTATCAAACAGTACAGAAGATTGCATAGAGAAATTACAATTAACATGCTCATGATTATATCGCCGAAAAGTGTACACATTACACTATAAATTGAGTACACATCTAAATGCAACTAATGGTACGCTGTTAATTTTTTGTATTTAACATTGTTAAATTACTAAAACCATTAGACAGCCACACAATGCTGGAAAACTAGCTTCAAGACTTCCTGAATCTGGGATGTGTGCCAAAAGTTAAATTTTATATTAAAATGAAAAGCGAAAAAGGCTCACCGCATACAGAGCCTCCAGTCTTGAGTTGTTGCGTAAAATTTCCAGTACGCTTCTGTATGTCTCCCACAAAAACTTAAACCATGGCGTGACGAGCTCACGGTCAGATCTGTCTTTTCCTTTCTCCCCACTAACATAACTCAACATAAGATCTTCAGGTCTTTTATCAGCTTCTAAATCATCCACATCCAGAGCTTCTTCTAAGGCCTGTGCCTGACTACGTGCAAGCTCAGCTCTTTCAGTGGCCAACTGCATGAAATGTTTTATCACCTCCTCCAGGGAATTGATGTTAACTTGTTGGCAGATACTACGATACTGAATAAGACCATCCTTGGCATGCCTTCCCCTTCTCATGTCAACACATAGCTCCACATACTTGAACAGTATCTTCTCGTGTATCCTTGTCCATGCTCTGTACCTCCTTGAGGTAATAAAACTATGAAGAGTTTCAAGGGCCTCTTGCTTTTGTCCAACATTAATCAACTCTGCATTAACACATTAATATGATCTCCACCATAGATATTAAGAATGAGAAAGGTAAAAAGATGTTGTATTTATATAAAACACAGAAACGTAACCAAGCAGAATCAATCGTGTAAGAGGACCTTTTCGCGAGTCCAAAATGCAAGCTGCCTAGTACAAGTGTACAACACCCACCCACCAACTCCTGGGGGGAAAAAGTGGAAAAACTAAAAAAAAATGTAGCATACCCACTTGCCAAAAAATTTATTACATAAGGAACCAAAAGCTATATACATTATTTAACTTTATTTACCAACAGCCCAACACATATAGACATGAATACTTGTATCTACAACTTCAAAATGAAGCGTTCATTTGTCAATACACATTTGGCATAGATATTCAATCTTGGGGAAAATATTGCAGATTAATTTTTACGATATGTAACACAATTAGAGTTATCGCCAGTTTAAAGTTTTTGAAGCATACATATTAAGAAGAAAAATGTGCACATGGACTAAGAATTCTCAAGAGAAAAAAGGTGATCGCATATTGCACTGGGAGTGATATGACAAAAAAAGAAATATATGTAAGAATTTATTTGTCAATCACCTTCAGCTCTCTTCAGAGCATTCTCAGGTCTGACAAAAGTTGCCATCTCAAAATATCTATCACGAGATATTTCTGCTGCCCAAACTACAAAAAAGATTAGAAATTTAGTCAATAATATAGACTCACATTGTAGCAAGAAAAATGATTGGGAATATAATAACTAGCACAATAAACATATATGGTGGGGAAGCTATATAGAGACTGCAAATGTGAACATTGGAGAAGCAGCAATTGGTGAAACAAGAGTGAGAGGGATAGAATTTGTATGCTTTAATTTCCTTCAAACCATGAACTATAAAAATTATGAAAAACAACAAAAATTAACATGATATAGATGAATAAAAATGCAATTGAAAATTCATGATCAATGACGGAGGTCAGAGATGCACCCAAATGCCTACACCATCTGTAACTTGTTGGCAAATTCCAATTGATGAGGCCTCTGAAATTTTTGTATTTAAGTAATTCTTAATTTATGTTTTCAGTTAGAATATACTGCTCACTACAGTCAATCCAACTAATTCTTGAAAAATTCACCCATAGACAACCCTAACGGACACGCTCTTTAAACTTTCCATGCATGTACAGTGGCGACTGGCGGAGGATTGAGGACTCCTCGCGGCATCGCACTATTAGG